AAAAAAAAAAAACATAGCAGGCCTCTTGTACCAGGCTTTTTGTTTGTTTGTTTGGAGCATGTTAAGATTTTTTTTTTAATTTTAGTTACATCCACCCTATTTCAGGTTATTTTTGTTGCTGTCAAGTATGTATAGGACATGTGAATGGTTATTTTTAATCCTGTTTTTTTTTTTTTTAGAGGAAATTCGGAAGATAAACTCCTTCTTGATATATATATATATTTTTCTTTAGCAGCTTGTTATCACTGGAATCAAAGGGAAAAAGTGATCTCTTTTTGCATTGGTTGTATTTGTATGTCACAAATAAAAAACACTTTGTTCAGCTGCTGAGATGGCTTCCTGATGCTGGGGCACCATGGGCAGCGTGAATCTGGGAAGCTTTGGACCCTGAGCCTGTCCCAACATTGGGCCCGAACATCAGAATGTGCGTGGCTATGATAGCCCCATGCCTTGCCCTGTGAAGAAGCCCCATACCGGAGGAAATCTCAGGCTGTCTGAGGCAAGCAGCCAGAATTGGGAACAGAGACCAAATGTATGTGTTTGTGCCACTTCCCAGAAGTTCTAAGGAGAGACCAAAGGTGTTCTGAAGGGCGCCTGCTTTGCATCCTGGAAAGAAAGTCCCAAGCCAGCCTTGTGACATTTGACATCTGTGTCCAAATGTAAATTTCAGTCCCCGTGTGTGGGAGGTGAATAGACGAGAGTGCTTCTTTCCTCTGACTTTATTGGGTTACTCAAAATATTCTTTGTCTCTTAAGATTCCTGCCGTCTTCCGTCCATTCATAGAAGACAGAGGCTCCAAGGAAGGGTAGCTCCTGTCAGGCCTGCTGGGGCAGGAGAGTTATGAGTTGGTGGAGGCTGTGACCCCCTAATGTGACAGATGGAGCTATGCAGGTTGTTCCCCAAGCAGGGCTCCTGCCAGCCCTGGCCCGGGGGAGCTGGAGCTCAGTACTTTCTGTGGACTATGGAGGGCTGCCCCACTGTGCTGTGCTTGGTGGTCTATCTGCTGGAGTGGGGGGCAGGAGACTCTGATCCACATGGAGTGTTCGTGCCCTAGCAGAGCAGACACCTGGGGAAAGAGGAGCTGGGGTCATACCTGTTCCGTGGGTCCCAGCCGTGGCATGTTGTGGCTTCTCCCCTGTGGGCGGGGGCACACCTGCAGGCAGCTGTCTTATCTTTGAGGTTTGTGCAGCTGTCTTATGTTTGAGGCCCAAAGAAAGGCAGCACAGCCCTTGGGAAGGGAGAGCAATTTGCCTGGCGAATCACACGGCCAGTTTCCCATGTGACAGAATTCTGCCCCCCAAGTTATTTGTTCCTTGAAGGCTGTGTTTTCATCCCAGGCAGAAACTTCTTGGAATGGCCATCCCCTTACTGAAGGGTAAATGGCCACAGTTGGAGAGCTTGGGGCCATTCCTTTATCCCTGCTGGCTGTGTGCAGGGAGAGTTGAGGTCTGCACCCATTCCTCCTCCTCCACCTTCACAGTGGCCTGGGCCCTCTACAGCGACTGCTTCAGTGAGGTGTGGTGTGACTCCTGGGGCTGCCCCATGCTGCTGCCACAGCTTTGGTGGGCAGGCAGGGCAAGAGGCACCACCACTGAGCAATAGACAGTCCAGAGCCTGGACTGGACTGAAAGAGACCATGTACCCAGGGGGAGGGACGCTACTCACAAGATGGTTTCTGCCACCGGCTTTGAAGGGGGAGGCTTTTCTAGTTTTTGCTAGAATACTCTCTCGCCAAGTGCAACAGAGGTTGTTCTATATCCCTGAGGACAGACGAGGTCTGGGGAGAGGGGAAGTGTTGCTACAGAGCCTGGTGAACTGATGTGGTGGTGTGACTCCCAATCTAAGGATAAATTGCCAGTGCCATGGCTCACGCCTATGGCCCCAGCACTTTGGGAAGCTGAGGCGTGAGGATTGCTTGAGGCCAGGAGTTTGAGACCAGCCTGGGCAACATAGTGAGACCCTGTCTCTAAAAAACAATATTTTTTTGATTAGTTGGGCCTGGTGGCAGGCACTTATAATCCCAGCTACTTGGGAGGCTGAGGTGGGAGGATTGCCTGAGCCTAGGAGTCTGAGGCTGCAGTGAGCCATGATTGTACCACTGCACTCCAGCCTGAGTGATAGAGCAAACAAGACCCTGTTCTTAAAAAAAAAAAAAAAAAAAAAGTTATTGTGTCTCATGCCTATAATCCCAGCACTTTGGGAGGCCTAGGCGGGCAGATCACTTGAGGCCAGGAGTTCAAGATCAACCTGGGCAACATGGTGAAGCCGTCTCTACTAAAAATAAAAAAATTAGGCCAGGCTCGGTAACTCACTCCTGTAATCTCAGCACTTTGGGAGGCCCAGGTGGGTGGATCACGAGGGCAAGAGATCAAGACTATCGTGGCCAACAGGGTGAAATCCTGTCTCTACTAAAAATACAAAAATTAGCTGGGCGTAGTGGCACATGCCTGTATTCCCAGCTACTTGGGAGGCTGAG